CATGTTTTCTAAGCATGGACAGTGTATTCCTTTTACATAAATTTTACATGAATAAAACGGGGATAAAAGAAAATGTTATAAAAATAACCTGTTATAATACTTAATTCTCCAATGATTGTATAGTGTCTAAAATAAATGAATATTATAGGAAATATTTTAAAGGATTCTGTTACTCTCCTTGCTCTTGTGGAAGAACTTACACAGTTCATAATATTCTGCATTTAAAGCCCCCCCCATTCCATCCATATGCTGTGCTATTGAATATTGGGTCTTTTGTACTTATGGCACTGGCGTTAGTGGACAGCTTTTGGGGAAATCATCAGGCCCAACCACAGCTCATACCGCATCAGAATCTATGTTTTAACAAGATCTGCAGTTCATGGTAGGTAATATTCAAAGTCATGAAGCATACATTAACATAGTGAGACCTTACAACTGATAAATCGGTGATCTCGAATGGTGTACATGGAAGATGGAAAAAGTATTCCTATGTTGAAGGTTTAGTTTTAAGTGATACACTTCTTTAATTGCATATATTTTGAGGATATGATGGTGTTCTTTTTTTTAATATTTTATTATTTTTATTTTATGTGTATGTGTGTATTGCCTGCATGTAGGTAACAGCACCCGTGTCATGCAATGCCCATAGAGGACAGAAGAGGCCTTTGGATCCCCTGGAACTGGAGTTATGGACAGTTGTTAGCTACCATGTGGGTTCTGGGATTTGAACCTGGGTCTTCTGCAAGAACAACCCTGTGTTCTTAACCGCTGAGCCATGTCTCCAGCCCGATGGTGTTCTTTTGCACAGAATTAGCAAGTACATTATGGAGTTGCTACATTAATAAACAATCTCTTTGAGTAGATCAGGTTCCTCATCTCCTTTGAACCTCTTTACTAATTACCTCTTGCTTCCTTGGGTCAAGTACTCTGTTTAAGGATTCCTACTCAAGTGCTTATTTTTCATTTTAGGATGAATTGGCACTCAAAGATGTGGCCATAGAATTCTCCCAGGAGGAGTGGGAATGCCTAGACTCGCCCCAGAGGACTTTGTACAGTGAGGTGATGTTGGAGAACTACCACAATCTGGTGTCAGTTGGTGAGAAGATTTTTCTTGCAGATTTCTCTACTTATTCAGCACATTTTCACAATCTACATACTAGTTTGGAAGTCTTGTTTTGTGTGAAAAAATCTCAGATTAAAAAAAATAGTGTATAGGGAGCGTCTGGGCATCATGAAAAGCATGTTTATATTTTATTATCTTTTGCATTTCCACTTGTTAAACATATTGTGAATATTCATTATTTAGTTGTTGATTTCAGTTACTCATTAGTACATAATACAAGCCTCTTAAAATTCCATTTCCATAGCTTTATTTAGAATCAGTGGTAGAATTCAGAACATGAAAATGGAAAACTCTCCAACATACTGTAAAGAGACTGTCAGGGATTGACTATTGTGGCATTATTTTTTAAGTCATATAATTTTGTCTAAATTGTCTACTGAGTAAAATAGCATGTTACAGATCCCAGTATTTTCTAAAGAATCCGTTAAACGTAATGGATTTTCTTTCTCATACACAGGTCTTGTTTTGTATAAGCCATACCCGGTCTTCTGCCTGGAGCAAAAGAAAGATCCCTGGAATGTGAAGAGAGGGGAGACTGTAGCCAAAGAACCAGGAACTTGGGAGTCAATGAAGGAAGGTGAGGGGCCAAAATAAAGGAATATAACGATATGAAAATGGCTGTGGCATGCTCTGTTTCACTGGATGCTGTTCTGTTTGGATAAATAGTGTACAGTAGTACCCTAAAAATGCGTCCTTTTGTAGATGTCAAATGACTTTGTGTCATGGTTTTTATTAGTTCATTATCTATTTTTATTTTACGTTTTAATTGAAACTTGTGATTTCCATCCAATATCATGTAATGGTGTTTAGATCCCCTTACCTATCTTCACCTCCCCACTTTGCCCTTTGCCCAATTTAATGTACTGTCATCCTCTATGTGTCTGTAGAGTGACTTGTGCCATCAAATATCCTTCAGTGTGAATCCACCCTTTGGGCCCACAGAGAGGCCTTTGCCTGTACCTGTTAGTGATTTTACTGTGATATTCTGTGGGGAGTCTCTGTTCTGGTCCTCTGTCATTGGATGTTCTGTGAGCTTCTTGTATGTGTCTTGGTATGCCTTTCCTTAATTTAGCAAAATTTTTTTCTTTAATCCTGTTGAAATCTGGTCAATGCCAGTGAGCTGGAATTCTCATTCCTCTAATCCTGTGATGCACAAATCTGATCTTTTCATGGTGTCCTGTATTTCCTGCATGTTCCATTCCTGTATTTTAATTTTTTTTCATGTTCTTTGCTTTAGTGGTCCAATTCTTCAACTTTATCGTCAGTCCTTATATTCTACTTTCCATTTCATTCATTTGGTTGGTAATAATTTCTCCTGTCTTTTCGAATTTCTCCTGTCTTTTCAAGTTGAATTATTGAGTTTTTCAGTTTCTTCTTCCTTTCAGTGTGAGCATTTTTCAATATTTCTTTCCTTTTCATGACCCAGTCTTCAAATCTTTGTCATTTAATTCATCCAAATATTTGTATTTTCTTGAGATTCAGTCAGACACTTATCCCTATCTTCTTTGAGTTGTGTGTTCTTTCAGTGTGTTGAAATCTTGGATCATGTTTATGGTGGTTCTTTAAATTCTGTGTCCCGGATTCCTCCAGATTGCTCTCATTGTACAACACTTCTGTAGTACTGGCAGTGTTTGATGGGGACATAGTGTTTTGGTTTTTCATAGTATTTGCATTTTTTGGTTGTGATGTGGGCATGTGGATTTCTTTTGTTGCTTGTGTTTCTGGTATTTAACTCTAGCTTGTGTTTGTTGAGTTGACATTTCATTCTGTTTATACTGTTTATGTAGCTTGATTACTTTCTCATCTACTGTGAAAAGTTAGTTTGTCTGGGCTTCAGATTTTCTCTTTTCATTTTGTATTTGAGGAACTGGATGGATCCAGGCAGGTTAGTAGGAGGCAGATTACTAAGAGGGCAAAGTAACCCCTGCTGGTCAGGCACTCTCAGACAGACTCAGTGGGATGAGGCTGAGGCCAAGGAGAGCTGATGGGAACAGAATGAGATGGTTCTTACTAGCTAGCGAGGAGACCTGTGCTCTGGAACAGCGAGACTGGAGATAGTCCCAGGGGGGGAATTGGCATAGCAGGATTTGGACAGCTCATCCTGATGAGTCAGGTGCTCTCTGGCAGCATCAGCAGTATGGGGTCAATTACTTTTTTTTCTTACTGCACATGAATTATGTGAAAATTAGTAGTAGTAGGTAAAATCTCTTTTATTTGATTACATATGAGAGAAAATCCCTCTTACTCTATTATGTATCTCCAGTATCTGTTTTCTAACCAATACTCGTTTTAATTACTGAATTGTTCTCATAATGTGAAATTAGAAAATTTAGCATCTTTAGTTTTATTTCTCCTTTGACAATTTTTGTGCCTTCTGTCTTGTGATTTTCTGTTGTTATAGTATTTATATATTTTTTCCAAAGATGACAGTAGGAGTTTGATGAGAGTCACTTGGAGTTTTTCATAGCATGAAATCATCTGGTTTGAGTTTACATGGGTCTTGTGCATGATTTCACCATTGATGTAAGTTCATATGAACGAATTCCCAGAAGCCTGGAAAACTCTGTTTCCTTATGGTCAATCACCACCCTTGCCTTTTATGATCTTTCCGCCCCTTTTGGCAGTCGGGTCTCTGATCCATGTGTGTGTGTAGTTTAATGTAGGGACATGCACTCTGCAGTCTCCTATTTTCCACACTTTGGCAGCTTTTGGCATCTGTGTTATTAACACTTGCATGAGGCGGCTTCACTCGTGAGAGTTGTCAGATGCAATATTATTTCTCTCTACTCCTGGTCCAGTATATTCTGTAAGCATTAGGGTTTCGTGGTTCCATTGTAAATGTGCCACTTAGGGCTGAGTATCTCACAAACAATGGTTAAAGATCTTTACTCTATTGTTACTATTACAGGCCATTTATTTTTCTTCTTTTCGGAGATGTATGTATTTGTTTAGTTTGTGGATTTGAAATTTTCATCTTTTGACACTTAATTTTGCAAATCCTGTGTATTCTAGATGTTGACATAGTATATGATAATATGTCTCATTCTTCCTGCAGTTTATGTTCTTG